ACTGAGTAAGTAGTACCTGATAGCATAGACAAACAATGTTTCTATCAAAGTAGACCTGATATGGTTTGGATGTTTGTTTCCTCTAAATGTCACCTTGAAATGTAATCCCCAACATTGGAGGTGGGGCCTGGTAGGAGGTATTTAGGTCATGGGAGCAGATCCCTCATGAATGTCTTGGTGCTTTCCTCCCCCATAATGAGTGAGTTCTCACTTAGAGTTCATGTGACATCTGACTGGTTAAAAGAATGTGGCACCTCCTCTCTTGCTTCCTCTTCCACCTGCCATGTGACATGCCTGCTCCTGCTTTGCTTTCTTCCATGAGTAAAAGCTAACTGAAGCCTCACCAGAAGCAGAGCAGATGCCACTAAGCTTCCTGTACAGCCTACAGAACCATGAGTCAGTTAAACCTCTTTTCTTTATAAATTACCCAGCCTCAGGTATTTCCTTATAGCAACACAAAAATGGACTGACACAAGACTTAGCAGCTTTATCCTTCCTATTCTTTGTGGCAGAGCACTGTGTGACTGAACCAAACGTGGTTACTACTGTCAGTGCCACAGACAGTCGAAATGAGCAAGCTTAGCTATGTTCATCTCTCCTATGATGGTGATCTGTGGCATGGTCAAACACTCCAGATGATACCACATAATCTGCAACGTTTTCATGACAAGTCACTTCTCTGAAGAAAGGAGTGTGAAGCAAAGAAACTTCTGTGCTCAGTTTTCCACAGATGTACCATGTACACAGTTGCACTGAAATTTTTTTACTCAGGGGTAAATACATTTTGCATACTTCTGTATTTTAAAATTATACTTTTTGCCCCCATTTTGTGAATTGATAATGCCAAGAACCTCCAAATTTTATTAATACTCATTAATTTTAAGAATGGAACTGACCAGATACAGTTTATTAAAATATGTTCATTATAAACAATTTACCTCCGCTTTGTGAAAAGTGCAAATACATCGAAAACTGTTACAGTGTCATGAGGTTACAAAGACTGCCTTATAAAATTATAAAGAAGTAAAATTGTTTAGTAAAAACCAAGAAATATCTTATTTCAATTTTCCACATATAAAAATATACTTTTTATTGCAACACTGAACACTTAAGGCCACAACACTTGAAGGAGAATTTGAGATACGCATATTTTGAAATGACAATGTCAAAAATATTAGCATAATAAATATCAAAACTGGTCACACTGATTGAGATCAAATAAAACATATTAACTATATCTTTAAAAGACTACTATCAGAAACTTTCCTTCATAAGTTATAAGGTTTTTCAAGTATAAATGACAGTGTGCTTGGTGATGTGAAAACATAAATATATATTTAGAGTATTGTACAGGATTTGATCTTCTCTCTGTGTTTGCTGATGGAATATTCTGATGATTCTCATTCACATGGTTCTGGTCGTCATCTTTATTACTGCTTTTAAAAATGATTTGATCTTCTATGGGTTTTATATCTGGGAGCGGCTCCCTGTTCAAGGCACCCTTTTGAATAGAAAAGCTAGGAAAAACCACACACAAAATATTCATTTCCATAAATGAAATATTCACTTAACAGTATTTAGGGCATATCATTTTCAACAAGCATGAACATGATTTCATCATCTCTTATGGGGCGCTACATGTACTATGGTATATTCTTAGCATCTGTTAGTATTTTTCCTTTCACCAAAATGCAGTCAGGATTCCACCCGAAAACAAGACCTTTCAGGGTCTAATATTCAACACAATCAACACCTTGGTGATATATTATCTTTTCCTTCAAAGAACAAATTTAATGTTTTACTTTGTTAAGTTATAAGAGGAAAATACATAAAAACTAGAATATTACCTATTGTAATTTTTAAATGTATCCAGGAGGGGTCATTTTCAGGACATGTCTGTCATTCTGAGTGTATGGTAGCTACAGTGAATTTGTATTGTAATATTCTGAAGTAGGATGATGTACCTCCCCATTCCTGTAGGCGAGAACTTCTAGCAAAAAGTTAGTGCTACCAAATGATGGCTGTGTGAGCCCTGTGTGTGGGTCTGAGTAGGCAGTCAAATATATGGAGCTTCTGTTCAAGGGAGGCTAGGGCTACAGATACACAGAATATAGATAATAGGTGAGAGATGAAAGTAGCCCCAATTATCCAGGGATTCCAGGCAGGTAGAAAAGAGAATGTAAGAAGAGACAAAAAGAGCAGAGTGAGAGGCAAGCAGAAGAGGAGCTAGCACCAAGGACCAAGGTTTGTAGGTACAAAATTGGGAAAACTGGGCAGTTCAGAAGTCAAGAGAGAAAAATACATCAAGAAGGGAGTGGCCAATAGGGCCACATGCAGAAGAGATCAAGAAAGATGACAAACGTTTCATTTGATTTAGGCCCTTTGAGAATGTAGCCAGAAAGAAAACAGGACTCTTGAAGAGTGATAACACAAATAATGGGTTTGACAAGATGCCAAAACAAAAAAACAGGAAACAAAAACCAGGTGAAAACTTGGCTCTTCCAGAAATAAAAAATGGTGCTAATAATAATAGCTTGCCTCTAGCTTTAAAGAATGGAGAAACTAGGTAAAAAGTGGTAATCCAAAAAGTAAGAGTCTAGAAAAAGGATCTACGGATTGAAATGGACGAACTTCTGTCCCTGCTATGGTGAGGAAATACACAACTTGAAAAAGTCTACCCCTATAAAATACCAAGAAATGCTGATGAAGTATAAAAAATAGAATTTTATAATGTACAGGTAACCTCCCAAAAAACTAAGGGAAATATCGTTGTAGACCAAACAAGAAAGAAGGAGCAGAAAGTCTCAGAGGTGATTAAGAACTAAAATAGCATCTGCTGACTCATAACTTACACTTTTAAGTTGAAACAATTTGATCTCACAAAATGAGGGGAACTGGAACTGAGGCCCTACATAATGTGAGGACTTTCTAAGTACTACGCCCTTAATATAAGTCTATCTGCAAACACTGTGGTCAACCTTACTGAGAAAGGAATTACAGTGGTCCTTCAGTCACACCAGAGCTAACAGAAGCTAATGAAAACTCTCTATAGATAGACTTACTCTAACTCAGGCCTTCAAGGATTTCCACAAAAAACGTCCCAGTGAAACAAGAACTCACAATACAAATTTCAAAACACAAATGGAAACAAATCACCATTAGCAAGTCAGCCAAAGCAACACATATATTTAGACTCCTAAGAATGATACTGGAATTACTAAATACAGAACATAAACTTAGCATGCTTAAAGTTCTAGAATAAAAAAAAACTAAGCATAAAACAAGGCACTGAACTTAAAAGACCAGATTGATTTGAAAAAGAACAAAAATACAACTTCACTTAAAATGTGAAAGATGTGATCACTGAAATTAAAACTCAATAGGTGGGTTATATAGCCAAGTAAGTAGTCTCAGCTGAAGAGAAACTATGAAATTAATGAAAGCCCTGAATTACCCAGAATATCACTTAGACATGGAGAACATGAAAGTGACAATAAAAGACACGTACCATAAATAAAAAGTTTTATATCAGATTTGAAAGGGGAAAGAGAAAATATTCAAATATATAATGAAAGAGAATTTTTAAAAATATGATGAATGACATGAATTCTCAGATTCAAGAGTCATAATAAATTCCAAGTAAGTTAAAATTAAAAAACTGCATACCTGCTGGGCACAGTGGCTCAGGCCTGTAATCCCAGCACTTTGGGAAGCCTGAGCGGGTGGATCACCTGAGTTCAGGAGTTTGAGACAAGCCTGACCAACATGGTGAAACTCTGGTCTCTTCTAAAAATACAAAATTAGTCAGGTGTGGTGGCACATGCCTGTAATCCCAGCTACTTGGGAGGCTGAGGCAGGAGAATTGCTTGAACCCAGGAGGTAGAGGTTACAATGAGCCAAGATCACACCACTGTACTCCAGCCTGGCAACGAAAGTGAAACTCCGTCTCAAAAAAAAAAAAAAAATCCATACTTAAGCATCTCATAGTAAACTGAAACACATCAAAGACAATCTAAAAAGCAGCCACAGAGAAATGGCAGGTTATATACCAAGTTATCAGCAATTATACTAAAGCAAAATTATAGACAGCAATAATGGGAGCAGATACTAAGAGAAATAGCTGTCAACCAGCCATATTATCATTTAAGAACTATGGTAAAATACAGATCTTTTTGAGTGAACAGAAACTAGAAGTTTTAATTGTCAACAGACATCTATAATAGGAACTTCCAAAAGATTTCTACAGAAAGAATAAGAATTCCAGAAGGACATCTGAGTAAAAAAGTGGTATAAAAAATACAAATAACGTATGATTTCTGATGTTAAAAAATTTTAAACACTGGGTACTACAACTTTAAAATAAGAAGAAGGGGTGATAGGCAAGAAAATTATTCTAAGATCCTGGCATTATTTGGAAAAATATAGGAAGACTGATGAGCTTTAGATTTTAGGTACATATGTTAAAAATGTCAAAGACAAAATCCGCTGTATAGGCCATTTTTAAGAGACACATCTAAAGCATAAGTTAAAGTAAAAGGATGAATAAAAGATCATCATTCCAATGCTAACCAAAAGAAAGGCTATATTAAAAATATGCAAGGCCGGGCGCAGTGGCTCACGCCTATAATCCCAGCACTTTGGGAGGCTGAGGCGGGTGGATCACAAGGTTAAGAGATCAGGACCATCCTGGTCAACATGGTGAAACCCAGTCTCTACTAAAAATACAAAAATTAGCTGGGCATGGTGGCGCACGCCTGTAGTCCCAGCATCTCAGGAGGCTGAGGCAAGAGAATTGCTTGAACCCAGGAGGCAGAGGCTGCAGTGAGCCGAGATCGTGCCATTGCCACTGCAGCCTGGGTAACAAGAACAAAACCCCGTTTCAAAAAAAAAAAAAATGCAGCATCACCTGAAATTCTTCAGGTTTTCGGGCCATAAAAACTCATATTAAGAGAGTTAAATTGTGTGAATCACCATATGAAAAGTAAAAGGAACAATTCAATACTTTGGTCTTAGCATTAAAAAGGATAATTCATTTCACTTACCTTCAGTTTTTTCATGTCTTTGCTTGGTGTTGATCCTTTATTCCTAGGATTTCTAATGAACGGCTTTTGGCATGATCAAGCATGTTTCCTACAATTGGATAATTCAGAAATACTACTTTTAACTAATAGGAAAAAGAAAAGACCTGATGCTCTCAGTGAAACTCTATGAACCCTGAGTTGTGGGACAATACTAAAAGGGCTCAGCACTGGAGTAGTGGACAGTATCTACACTGCATATTTCCTGAAAGTTGAGTTAAAGTGAAAAGCCCAGAATGATCTCACCAAAACTGTCATTGTTTAGATGACCATATCCAAATACTGCTACAAGCTAACAGCAAATGTTACAGAACACTTCTGTAAAATACAAATTACTTTAAAAATTAACCTAGTTATGATTACATTCTTTGTACTCAAACAGACATTCTATTTTTTGGTGTTTCAAATTAATCCACATGTTCTATATCTGAATTATTATCTTTAAAGTATACTTGTAAGGCATATTCATTGTTTTAATTTATATAATCAACTCCTTAAAGCTTATATTTAATTTCTTTGTAGCACTTTAGGCTATATGTTAAGAAGACTTAGAGGTGACATTTTTTTTAACACTAGCCTAAAATATTCTAAAACATACTACTCTTGTGGCAGAAGTTAAAAGGAACAGGATGAAGGAAAGTATTCTTTCCTCAGCTTAAGTTTAGATCTGATATCCAGTATTACAGATAGTTTTTTATGAGAACACAGTAAAATGCATACTGCAGTGTGAATGGTGTGGAAACAATGTGGAAGTCATACTGCAGAAACACAGATGATCTGGGTCTAGATTATGTAGATTTCAAGAGCAATCACAGTCTCCCCCTATTCCACAGCACCTGTTTTCTGATACTAATAGGTGGGCTTAGGAAAGAACTTCTCTTCAGTGTCTACAGTAAGATCAAAGACTCAGGTCTGGGCCCCTGGGAGGGAATAATTGGGTGACCAGTGTGGCTTTAGGCCAGCCCAGTTGTCCCAACTTGGTTAGGCAATGGAGTCTGGCAGTGCTCACTAGAAATATAAATAGGAATCTGGGGCAAAAGCTTGATTTAATAATATTGATCAAATAGAGAGAAAAAAGGTAGTAAAAGGGCTACTTAAATTCCTTAACACCAGCCAGGTGCAGTGGCTCACACCTGTAATCCCAGCATTTTGGGAGGTGAAGGCGGGCAGATCACTTGAGGTCAGGGGTTTGAGACCAGCTTGGCCAACGTGGTGAAAGCCCATCCCTACTAAAAATACAAAAATTAGCCAGGCATAGTGGCAGATACCTGTAATCCAGCTACTCAGGAGGCTGAGGCAGAAGAATCACTTGAACTGGGGAGGCAGAGGTTACAATGAGCCAAGATTGTACCATTGCACTCCAGCCTAGGCAACAAGGGCAAAACTGTCTCAAAAAAAAAAATTGTTAACACGTAGCAGCAATGAATAATGCAAATATTTATATGTGAAGAAGCTGTGGTGGTTATATATATATAAGAACAGCTGTGGTGGTTATATATAAGCCTGTATCACATATTTCATAGCTTTTTATGAGGATCATGTGACAGTAAAAACTATTAAAAGATATGTCAGCTTATACTTACCTAATTATGGCATATATACGTATGCATGTATGTATATATGTATGTTATCAAACGTGCTCATACCTTTTGGGTTTTCATTGTATTCACAAATGGCCCGTTTCTCTAGGTTGACTTTTTCTTTCTACAAACAATAATAAAGCAATATAACAACAAATAGTTTTGTGCTGGTCTAGAAAACTTAGTCTGAATCTTTAAGCATGTTCCAGAGTCTTCCTTTAGCTAATGACGTAAACATGTGACAATTATTTCACTTTGCTGAGCTCTTGTAAAATGAGGAGCCTTAGATGCTCACTGATTGCAAATGTCCTCCTAGCTTAAAATTGTGTCATTAAAAAACCTGTATGATTCAAGAATTCTCCCCAAAGATTCATGAACACTAATCGGCATATGACTTGTCTCAACATTTTACAGTGTCAAATTAGTATTGAATGATTTCTATGTTAAAGAATCTTAAAGACCACCCTGACCTGAACTCATCAACGTTCCCTATAAACAGAACCATTTTCTCCTTCTGAAAGAAAATAATAACTGCTAGAATATTCTTTTCCTAGTAAGAGGAAGGAGTCTTGGAAAAAGAAAGAACCAAGGAATACAATGACCTTAGCAAAATATCAATTGTAAATTAAAAATGTATGTACACAAACATGTTTTACAAGTTCACATTCAATAAAACGACAAGTATGTTTCACTGGTTATCTATGTTGGGAAAATAGGGAAGGGGAATGGAGCTAAAAGGGAATACATTTACATGAGAGAGCCTTGCACAGACCAATGATGAGTGTTTCATCAACTAGAAGGTATGACTAACTCAGTGTTCTGCATAAGAGGTTCAAAAATTGAAAACAAAATGATCAGTACAATGTCATGCAGTTTGGGTTGCAGAATTCCATACTTCAGAAGTTAATCCAGAGTAGTGTTAGCAAATGAAAGATTTCAAACCTACCAACTATCTCCTAGCAGGTCATTCTCAGTCAAAACTGCCAATGGAAGAGATTATGTTTTGGACATCTCTAGCCCCACTTTCAAGGTGATTTTTGCTTCCTTAGTGATATCTTCTCCTATTCCTTCTATATATACTTTTGTCTCGACTGCATCTTTGAAGAACTGATCACAACTTCAAATACTGCTGTGACCAGCTTTCATTCATTCACACATCTAAACATAAGCAAATGTGCATACACATACACACCCCATTTCTGCCACCAGTGCCAGGGCTCCTAACTGCACTTTCAGCATTTCAAGGACCAGGTGCTGAACTTCTTGTTAATTTCCCAACAGTGTACTATCCTGGCCCAGACCACTCTACTTCCACTCATGTAGGAAGCAGAATGCTACCAAGCAGCATTCTAGAAAGTGTGCTAGAGGGTGATCCAAGATGGCCAAATAGGAACAGCTCCAGAGTGCAGTTCCCAGCTAGAACAGCGCAGAGGGTGAGTGCTCACCACATTTCCAAACAAGTTGTCACTGCCCACATACCAGGAGATTCCTGGGCTGTAAAGCGCCATGAGTTTTCAGCGCGACAGTTACAGCCACTGCTGGGTCAGTGCACAGAAACTCACACAAGTCTGGGCAGCCATTTCGACTGGCACCTGGAACGCCTGGAAGACAGAGCCACACATTCAACTGAAAGGGAGGGGGCTGAGATGGGGAACCAGGCGATCGGGCTCGGTAGGTACCACCCCCACAAAACAAGAAATCTGAAACGTTCTGGATTGAGAGTCTCACAGCAAGCGCAGCTAGACCTAGGACTGTCCAGCTCAGTGGGGAGAAGGGTGTCCCCCACTACTGAAGCAGTCCGCCACTACCGAGGCAGATCACACAGCAGCTGGGCAGAGCCTGCAGCAGCTCAGCAACACCTCTGCTGGCAGGCTGTGACTAGACTACACCATGTGGGGCAGGGCATCTATGAAAAAAGGCAGCAGCACGACAGGAACTTATAAATAAAGCAGACCTTCCTGGGACAAAGCACCTGGGAAAAGAGGCAGTCATGAGTTCAGCTGCAGCAGACTTAAAGGTACCTGCCCAGCAGCTCTGCACAGAATAGCAGAGCTCCCAACATAACACCTGAGCTTCTATAAGGAACAAACTGTCTCCTCAAGCAACTCCCCATATACCCAAAGAGACATCTAATAAAGGAGAGCTCGGGCCAACATCTGGCGGGTACCCTTCTGGGATGAGCATAACAGAAGAAGAAACTGGTGGCAACCCTTGCTGTTCTGCAGCCCCTGCCAGTGATCCTCAGGCGACAGGGGTCTGGAGTAGACCTCCAGCAGTCCTGCAGCAGAGGGGCCTGACTGTTAGAAGAAAAACTAAGAAGCAGAAAGAAATAGCTTCAACACCAACAAAAAAGGACATCGACTCAGAGACCCCATCCGAAAGTCACCAACTACAAAGACCACAGGTAGATAAAACCACTAAGATGGGAAGAAACCAGCGCAAAAAGGATGAAAGCACCAAAAACCAGAATGCCTCTCCTCCTCCAAGGGATCATAACTCACCAGCTAGGGATCAAAGATGGATGGAGAATGATTCTGATGAATTGACAGAAACAGGCTTCAGAAGGTGGGTAATAACAAACTTCTCAGAACAAAAGAACATGTGATAACCCAATGCAAGAAACTAAGAACCTAGAAAAAAGGTTAGATGAGATGCTAACTAGAATAAACAGCTTAGACAAGAATATAAGTAACTTGATGGAGCTGAAAAACACAGCACGGAACTCTGCAAAGCATACACAGTTTCAATAGCTGAATTGACCAAGCAGAAGAAAGGATATCAGAGACTGTAGATCAATTCAATGAAATAAAACAAGAAGGCAAGAATAGAGAAAAAAGAATGAAAAGAAATAACAAAGCCTCCAAGAAATATGGGATTATGTGAAAAGAACCAAGTCTACATTGATAGGTGTACCTGAATGTAATGGAGAGAATGAATCCAAGCTGGAAAATACTCTTGCAGGATATTATCCAGGAGAACTTCCCAACCTAGCAAGGCAGGCCAACATTCAAGTCCAGGAAATACAGAGAACACCACAAAGATATTCCTCAAGAGCAACCCCAAGGTACATAATCATCAGATTCACCAGGGTTGAAATGAAGAAAAAATGCTAAGGGCAGCAAGAGAAAAAGGTTGGGTTACCCACAAAGGAAAGCCCATCAGACTCAGTGGATCTCTCGGCAGAAAACCCTACAAGACAGAAGAGAGTGTGGGCCAATATTAAATATCCTTAAGAGAAAGAACTTTCAACCTAGAATTTCATATCCAACCAAACTGAGCTTCATAAGCGAAGGAGAAAGAAAATCCTTTATGGACAAGCAAGTTGCTATAGATTTCATCAACCACCAGGCCTGTCTTACAAGAGCTCCTGAAAGAAGCACTAAACAAGGAAAGAAACAACCAGTACCAGCCACAAAAATGTACCGAATGGTAAAGACCATCAACACAATGAAGAAAATTTGTCAACTAATGGGCAAAATATCCAGCTAGCATCAAAATGGGAATGATCAAATTCACACATAACATATTAACCTTAAATGGTAAATGGACTAAATGCCCAATCAAAAGACACAGGACTGGCAAACTGGATAAAAATTCAAACCCGGGGGGAGGACTCAAGATGGCGCTGTGAGAACAACCCAGGATTGGAGCTCGCGTTGAATCCGCAAACGGTGAGGTCAGAGCTGCATTCCAAACTGATCGTTGTTGCCCACAGAACGGGGAAACTCCCAAGTATAAAACAGACACGGGACGCAGGCAGCTGGGGGCGCCGGGGGCCGGCCCGACCCAGCAATCCCCACAGGGCGCGCTTGTCCGAGGTGCCCTGTTGAACCCGGCAACCTGAGACTTGAGAGGGCTGGACTTGAGACGGAACAAGACTTGGACAGTAGCCCAGCCCAGGGGATTGCAGGGACAAATCGTTTGGGATACCCAGTGGGACGAACAAAACCGCGAGTTCAAACTATCCCGAGCAGACGGTCCGGGACGAACAAACCGCGATTTCAAACTATCCCGAGCAGACGGTCCGGGGACGCTTTGTGGGGGAGGGGCGTCCACCACTACCAGAGGCAACCAGCCCCAACGCCAGCCGTTGCCGAGGCAACCCGCCCCAACTGAGATACACGCCCACTGCTGACGCAGCCAGCCGTTGCCGAGGCAACCCGTCCCTACTGAGATACACGCCCACTGCTGATGCAGCCTGCCGTTGCTGAGGCAACACGCTACAATGAAGAGACTACGCCGCAGGGCGTGGCGGAGACCACAGCAGAGCTGCAGAAACAGGGCGAATCACACAACAGCAGGGCGGAGCCTTGGCAGCCAAACAGTGGCTAATCTGCCTTCTAGCTGGGCAGGACACCTCATCGAACATCCAAAAATAAAGCCCAAACCCCTCAACACAGAGCATTTGAGAAAAAAAAAAAAAAAACGGTTTTTTAATGAGCTCTGTTGCAGCAGAATCAAACATAGCAGCCTAACAGCCCTGAATGAACAACAGAGCGCACAGCTCAGCAATTAAGCCCCTATAAAGTACAAACTGTCTCCTCAAGCAGCTCCCTGACCCCTCTATATCCAAAAGACTGACATTAGGCAGGCATCATCCTGGGACAAAGATAGCAGAAAAAGAAACTGGTAGCATCCCTCGCTGTGCCACAGCTGCTAGAGGTGCACCCCAGACAAGCAGGGTCTGGAGCGGACCTCAGCAGTCGTACAGCGAAGGGGCTAGACTGGTAGAAGGAAAACCAAGCAACAGAAATACTTCATCATCAACATTCTGAGTGTCCACTCAGAGACCCAATCGAAAAGTCAGCAACTACGCAGACGACCAGCAGACAAATTCACAAAGATGGGAAGAAACCAGAGCAAAAAGGAGGAAAACACCCGAAACCAGAACACCCTCGCCTCCTAGAAAGGACCAAAACTCCTCACCAGCAAGGAAACAAAGCTGGACGGAGAATGACTGTGACGAAATGACGGAATTAGACTTCAGAAGATGGATAATGAGAAACTTTTGTGAGCTAAAAGATCATGTATTAAATCAATGCAAAGAAACTAAGAACCTTGAAAAAAGATTTGAAAAAAGATTCGAGGAAATGATAACAAGAATGGATAACTTAGAGAGGAATA